GAAATTTTCGTGACCTTGGCGAGAGAGCTGTCATGATTCTGAGTGTTTTTGAGAATGGATGAAGGAAGATGTCTTGCTCTGAGCCAGGGTTGGAGGTCAGAGAAATCTTGGAACGATAATGAGGGGTCATCCAGGAGCACTGGAGGAGAATGGGGCCTACAGCTGAATGGTTTCCAATTGGGTAAACTTGGAGAAGTGACAATTAAGGGGAAGCAGAGCTGGCAAGATCCGTATGACGGGGGAGCAATGCCAGAGCATTACATGAGGGGATCTACATGAGGGGCTGTTCTCTCAGGGTATGAGGAAGGAGTCCTTAAGACCGGCCATAGGGTGTTCCTACGGAATCGGCGTAAAGTCCGTGGTGGGCACCGCCACAGGACACCGCTAGCAGGGAGGCTCCGGGCCCAGGACCAGGGATGAGCTTGGAGCGCGCCGGATGGCAGCAGCGGGCTCCTTTAAGAGGCCGGCGGCTCCAGCGCAGCATCCCCCGCTCAGGGCGTGTCCGTCCCGGGGGGCCAGGGGCGGGGGCCTTGGAAGGAGCGGGAGTTCAAGCCGAGTGGGGACAGGCTAGGGGTCGGGGGGTGGGGGCAGAAAGCCGGGGCTGACACCCGGGCACCCAGACACCGCGCGCGCATCGCCTGTGACAGCGCCCCGGGTCCGGTCGAGGGCAGCGAGGGGAGGAGGGAAGGAGGAGGAGAAGGAGGAGGAGGCGGGAGCAGCATCCGGAGCGGAGCTGCAGCAGCGCCGCCTTTTGTGCTGCGGCCGCGGAGCCCCCGAGGTGAGAGCCTGGCCGAGTAGTAGGGGGTGGGGGGCAGATGGGTCAGGGTCCTGGGATCCCGGCGTGGAGGGAGGGTCGGGATGCAGATGTGGCGAGGTGGGAGGAGGTGGCGCCGGGATGCTGAGGCTGTGGGGATGGAGGACTGGGAACCTGGACCCGCGCCTGTGGGGATGGGAAGGAGGCAAACGGAGCGGAGGGATGCCGCCGCCCAGCTCGGACACGGAGGGCCTCCAGAGCTGGAAGGACTGTAGGGGGGTGGGGGAGCTGATCGGGGTCAGACTTAAAGGAGAGTGGGCAAGGAAACATCCCCTTCTCCACCCACTCATCCTCAAGAAGGGAGAGACGGAAGGAGGAGGGAGAGTTTTGGCCTCCCCAGGGAAGGAAAGGAAGGGCAAGGCCTGATGTGCTCGCCGTCCCTCCCCACCCCCCACTAGCAGGCTGGGCCTGTAGAGCACCGGCAGGCAGAGAGCACCTGTTCCTGGACGCCCAGGAGTGGTCCCCCTCCCCATGCAGCTGGAATGCTCCTAATCCCCTCCAGCTGTGGCATTCACCTCCATCCAGCTGTTGCATCCTCTCCTCCCCCACTCATCTGTGGCTTTCTCCCTCCTCTTTCTCACCATCTCCTCTGGCTTCCCTAACCTATTTCCCGGGGTCAGGTCTGTCAAGACCCTCCTCCTTTTCCCACAGTCCTCACTCCTCAACATCTTTGGCTTAAAAATAAATCCTTGCCACAGAGTTGAGACTTCCTAATACTACGGCCTCGACTGAGAGGAGGAAAGGGAAGGAGTCAAGGTACTGTAGAAATAGGTGTTCCTTGGAATTAAGGGAGAAGCCCCACCACTGAGCTCCCTTATCTGCTCCCTCTTTGGGAGGTGAATGGCCTTCACCAGGAGGGGGTGCACACGAAGTCTCTTTGCCCCATGAGTGTCCTCTCAAGCCACAGTCAGTACCTGCCTCTGAATACCATTTCCCTTCTAACCCTCAAGCAGACTCCATTGCTCTGGGAGCACCGACTTTCAGCCAGAGGCTCATAGCAAATAAGGCCAGCAGAAGGGATTCAGGAAGGAGAGGACTCAAGTGCTCCCCGAGTCTTCCAGAAACAAGTTTCTCTGAGCATAAGGGCCTGCTCCCTTGTATCTCACAGGGTGGGTGAAAAAGTGTCGCCCAGTCAAGCCTGTCTCTCATCCCTTCACTCACAGGTGAGATGGGGAGGCCCTAACTCCAGCACACATGAAAACATGCAACTGAATGTTCATCCTTAAAGAACCCCAGTTATGGAGACCAGCTGATGGTGTAATGGTTACATTGCTGGACCCCATGTAGTAGTTGACTGTGGTTCAAGTCCTGGATCCAGCAGCTCAAAATCCATGCCAGGCATGTGTGCATGCGTGACCACAATCCCGAGAGGAGAATGGAGGAGAAGGGATTGCGGCGTGGTCATTCCCCCTGGGGGGTGACTTCTTGCTTTCTATCTCTCCATCCCTCTCTGTGTCTCTGGCAAGTGCATGACCCTATAGCAAAAATCTCTCTTCAATAAATAAAGAACCCCAGTTATGAGCAGAGAAGGCAAGAAGTTTCAGCAAGGAAATGTCTGTGATTGCCCAGACTTCCATAGGGCTGAGGAAGGCGGAATCCTTCCAAAACCCAACGCTGCTCCCCAGTCCTGCCCCTGGTGATGGTAACGTGATAGAGTCTGCCAGGAAGAGGGCCCGTGTACCCTCAGCCCTGCACTCTCGGCACATACAGCACTAGTTCTCCCCTGCCTGGTCAGGGGAGGAGAGGGGATCAGGAGGTCACCCCTTCAGGAGGCCCTGTGGAGCAGGAGGATAGGGATGAGAAGGTGCCAGCAGCAGACTAGGGGCTTCGTGAGGGGTCTGTTCATTTGCTTCTAGGGTCCTGTGTGTGTTGGGGGAGGCAGTGAGGAGACAGTGCCACCACTCCGACGAGAACAGGTCATCCAGGATAGAGGGCCCTTGCCCTTTGGTTTCTTCTTCCTTTGTACTCCTTTTCTCCCTCTTGTTCTCCGTGTCCCTTCCCGCCTGTGTCCTGCTACTTGCTTAGAGAAGGAGGGAAAGGAGAAAAAGAAAAGAGAATGATATTTATTTAAAAACCTTCATGTTAGGCACCTTCCACCTGCCTAACTTTTTCTAGAACTTCCTGTGTTCCATGTACTGGGCCTAGAATTTTATTTTTATTTATTTACTTATTTGGAGAGGTTTTTGCTATAGAGCACATGTGCTCACCAGAAAGACAGAGAGAGACAGAGAGACAGAAAGCGAGAAATCACCCCCAAGGGGGGATGGCCATGCTGCAATCCCTTCTCCTCCATTCTCCTCTCGGGATCTCGGGCACGCACGCACGGGTCTGGGACTCAAACCGTGGTCGGCTACAGGGGAGTCCACCAACAAACATAGCCAGTACACCAACTGCTGGTCCCAGAATTTTATTTTTATTATCTCAGTAATGCTGGTAACAAGACTAAGTTAGATAGTGTTATCATCATCTCTGTTTTAGTGATGAGGAAAATGAAACTTAAGTAATTTGCAAGTCAAAAAGTTGGTATGTGACAGAAGCTAGGATTTGAACCCAGGTCTGTCTGACCTATTGCCTACGTTCTTACCCACCATAGTATCTTACCTGCTGCATTACCTCTGTGTGACCTGGGTACCACTGTTTCCCATTTAGAGATCAAGACATTGACATTTGTTAATACGTCTAGTACTCCAGCCACCCAACTGCCAGGAGCAGAGATTATAGTTACCAGGCCTCTCCAATTCTGAGCCTACACCCTCTCCCCATACCATCCGACCTCCCTCTATAGCACAGTTGTCCTAAGCGAGGTGACAGGGATGAATGGGCACTCCATAAACTTTCTCTTTTGTGATTTAAAATAAAATTTGTCTTATTTTAAAAGAAATTCAGTTATTACTAAGATATTAGACAACATAGGTAAGCCAAAAGAAGAAAAGTAAAATACCTGTAATTCCACCAGTCTAAAAGCTATTAGGATTACCTTGGTATCTAGCTTTTCAGATTTTTCTAAATGTTTCTTTACTCACCGTAGCGCATGTGTGCGCATCTGTGAGAGCGAGCAGGGCATCTCCCACGGGGCCTGGTAATGCCGTGACTCCCGTCCTCCCACCCTCCAGCCTGTCAGATCTTGGGCACTGGTGCATGAGCCTGGCTGACCAGGCTGAGGATTCGCTCTTTGGTCACTGCCATGCAGGACCTGGCTTCTCTTGAGCAGTAGTGTCATGGAGCCCACCCCCTCATGTTTTTTAAATGTATATTCAGTTGAGGGACTATTTGTTAAAATATGCTGAACATCTTGCAGAGCCCCCTGAGGCGCTATTTAGGAAGGACCTGAGGCCCATCCTGTGCTGTTCCTGCTCTCGCCTTCCCCTCAGACCCCTGTGAGCAGGGCTACACAGTCAAGGAGAGGATCTTAGTGCTATAGCTGCTTACAAGAGCAGATTCTAGAAAGAACTGGACGGGGGCGAGGATGGCTGCAAAGACTTAGCCCTACTTCCTAGTACAGAGGACAGGAGAGGGCCAGATTTGCAGAGGAAGGGCTGACCCGGCAGGAACCCAGTTCCTCTGGAACCTGGAATTGTGATTTGTTTCTGGGGACGCAGAAGATTGGAGACCAAGTTTCCCTCTTCATTTATTTTTTTTAAAGAGAGAGATTTTTGCTATAAGGTGTATGCACTCACTGGAGAGACAGAAAAATCCCCCCCCCCGGGGGGGGGATGGCCACACCATAATCCCTTCTCCTCCATTCTCCTCTCAGGATTTTGGGCACACACCTATGAACACCAAGCATGAGTTTTAAGCAACCAGATCCAGGACTTGAACCACAGTCAACCCATTTGGGAGTCCAGCAACATAACCGTATGCCATCTGCTGGTCCCAAATCTCCCTTTTTCTAGTCAGACAGAAGAGATGACATCTCTAGGACCCACAAAGAAAGACCTTGTGTCCAGCTAACTAGGAAGGCAAAGCAAGGAGACAGGCGTTGAGCTCACTGCGTTCCCTACCTCATCTCCTTAACCCTCACCACCCCATGAGGTAGGGCTGGGAGTCTCAGAGAGATGGCGTAATGTCTATAATGTCTATGTCACTGGACTCCCACATGGCCAGCCATAATTTGAATCCTGGACCTGGCAGCCTGAAACTCAAGCGGGCACTTGTGTGTGTGTATGTGCCCAATATCCAGAGAGGAGACTGAAGGAGAAGGGATTGCAGCGTGACCATCCCCACGGGGGGTGATTTCTCACTTTGTCTCTCTGGTGAGTACACATGCTGTATAGCAAAAATCTCTCTTTAAAAAAGAGAGAGAGATTACATTTCTGGACCCAGCAGTGGCATGGTGATTAAAAGTTTGATTAGCACACAGATGACTGAAGTTCAAATCCCAGAATTGGCAGCTTGCGAATTACTCCAGGTGTGTTACATGCACCCCCAAAATCCTGACAGAATAGAGGAGATGGATTGCAGGGAGGCCATCTTCCCTGGGGGGGTGATTTCTCACTTTCCCTTTCTCTGTTTCTATGTCTCTCTTCAGCAAGCGCATGTACCCTATGGAAAAAACTTTTTTTCCTTTTTTAAAGAATTATTTGATCTAGCTTTATTTATCTATTTAATTTGACAGAGCAAGAGAAAGAGAGGGAAAGTGAGAAAGTAAGCCACCAGGTCCGGGACTCAAACCACGGTCGGCCGTGTGAGAGTCAGCGTCTTTAACGACCACACCACCTGCCAGCCTGGAATAAAACTTTTGAAAAAGAGAGAGATTACATTCCTGAAACCACTTGCTAGCAAGGGCCAGTCAAGTGGCACAGTGGTTGAATGCAGTGCATGGGGAACAGATCCCATTTGGCTGACTGCGGTCCTGGTCCCAGAGGCTTGAAGGACACGCGGGGCACATGTATGAGCATGGCTAAAATTCTGCTCTGGGGAAACTGAAGAAGGGAAGAAAGGTTGCTACATGACCAAGCCCCTTT